AGATAGATAGATAGATAGATAGATAGATAGATAGATAGATAGATAGAGAATGTGTATACACATACAAATGTGTATGTGAATGTCAGAAAACAGGCTGTGGGAGTTGGTTCTTTTCTTCTAGCATGTAGATCCTATGGATTGAACTCAGGCTGTCAGCCTTGAGTTACCCACTGAACAATCTCTCTGGCTCCCTTATGTTTGGTTTTCAGGAAGGGTCTCATTATGAAGTCTTTGCTGATCTGGAGCTCACTATATAGAACAGATTGATCTAAACTTATGGCAATTCCCCTGCCTCTACCTTCTGGGTATTGGGACCAGAGGCATGTTATGGCTGGTAGTTTGCAAACTCTCTGTTATATGTGATTTTATCATCAGCTTTGGATATTGGTACATTCCTTTAGCAGAACAGTAGTATTTGGTTTTCCCCGATGCCCCTGGCCTATCTAGTCTCAGTCTTGGTCACCCAAGCAGTGTTGGGTATGGGCTCCATCTCACAGAGTGGGCCTTGAGTAATGTCTTGTTGCTTAGCCCCACAAGCTTTGTGCTACTAACTCAACAGCATATCTTGCAGGCTGGTCACTCTTGTAGATTGAAGGGTTTGTATCTGGGTTGGTGTATATCTTTCTCTTTTGGTAGCATGCAGAGTGCTTTAAATACTAGACCGAAGGGATGGGGTATGTGTCCACTTCTGCCAGCTCTAGGACCCCATCTGGTGAAGACCTGTGCAGTCTCTAAGTAGGTACCAGCTTGACTCCTTTGTATTCAGTGAGTTGCATAGGTATTGTCTTCAGCAATAGAGCCTTACCATCGACTTGTGGAGAGCCTTGACAATTGCCTGGGTTGTTTGGAGGTTCCCTTGGGACCCCTCTGGCCAACAACTCTATTTGATATAATTCATTCCTGGTATTGGAAGCTTCATTTGGCAATGAGAGATGTCCAATTGGGACTCTGTCTCACCAATAATTGTCATTTTCATTTAGACCACCTTCATTTATGTATGTATTATAGGAAGCTTCTACTGTAATAGGTTTCGATACAACCTCTCAAATGACCCTTAGTTTTACCTGCCTGTCCCTGTATTCTCTCCCTTGCCCTTTCTTCCCTCCCTCTCATTTGATCCTCCCATTTCAGTTTTCCCAGCCCCATCCACTCATAACTATTTGCTCTATCTCTCCTTCCTGGAGAGATCCATGCCCTCACATTACTTCCCTACTCTTCATCTAGTCTTTGTGGTTTACAGATTGCTTTCAATGATTTAACAGCTTTCATCTGCATACAAGCGAATACATACCATATTTGTCTATCTGGGTCTGAGTTACCTTACTCAGGATGATTTTTTTCTAGCTCTGTCCATTTACAAGCAAATTTCATTATTTCATTTTTTTAATAGCCAAGTAATATTCCGTTGTGTAAATGTACTTCATTTTCTTTATCCATTCATCTATTGATGAATATCTAGGTTGTTTCCAATTTCTGGCTATTATAAATAGAGCAGCAATGAACATGTTTGGGCAACTGTCTCTGCTGTAGGATGAAGTATCCTTTGGATATCTGCCCAAGTGTAGTGTCTTAGTTAGGGTTTCTATTGCTCTGAAGAGACACCATGGCCATAGCAACTTTAAAAAAAATAACTTATTTAATTTTATTTTATGTGCATTAGTGTGAAGGTTTCAGATCCCTTGGAACTAGAGTTACAGGTAGTTGTGAACTGCCATGCTGGGAATTGAACCTGGGTCCTTTGGAAGAACAGACAGTGCTTTTAACCACTGAGCCATCTCTCCAGGTCCCATAACAACTCTTATAAAGGAAAGCATTTCATTGGGGCTGGCTGTTCCTGAGGTTTAATCCATTGTGCCATGGCGGGAAGCATGGCAGCACACAGGCAGACATGTGCTGGAGAGGTAGCCGAGACCTACATCCAGATTGGTAGGCCACAGAAAGAGACAGTGAGCCACTAGGGCTGGCTTCAGCTTCTGAAACCTTGAAGCCCACCCTCAGTGACACACTTTTTCCAACAAGGCCACACCTCCAATAATGTCACTCCCCATGAGTCCATGGGTCTCATTTTCATGCAAACCACCACAAGTGGTATAACAAGATTTTGGGGTACTTTGAGGCCCATCCTTCTGAGGAACCATCATAATGAGTTCCACAGTGTTTGTATGAGTTTGCACTATCACCAGCAAAAGATAAGTGTTCCCTCTACTCTACTTCTTTATCAGCATTGGCTGTCATTTTGTTTTTTTTTTTTAATCTTGACCATTTTGATTGGTGTAAGATGAAATCTCAAGTTTTGATTTGCATATTTCTGATGACTAAGGATGTTGAACATTTCAATAAGTGTTTCACAGCTGTTTCAATTTCCTCTTTTGAGAATTCTTTGTTCTCTGTGCTCCATTTTTTTTTTTAAGTTGGGGTATTTGTTTTCTTGATGTTCAGTTTTTGAGTTCTTTATAGGATTTGGATATTAGCCCTCTGTTGTATGAGTAGTTGGTAAAAATAATTTCTTATTCTGTAGCTTTTGTAAGACCTGGAGTCTCACTGCTCAGGATTGCGCCCTTTCCAGGAACTCTCATAGACCACAGCTCGATGCAAAAGCAAGAGGTTTTATTGCTATCACAATAGGGTCGCCCCTCCAAAAGCGAGAGACGACCCTGAACATGCAAAGCACAGGGTTTTTATACCTGAAAATTGGATCACTTTGCTCTATAGTTTACAGCTGGTTGTAGATAGTTTACAGCTGGTTGTTTCTCAGAACAGTTCACCTCACCCTTCAAGAGCTCTCTGCACCTGGCTTCAATTCAAAGAATCACAGTTGTTTTTTCTCATTCTCCCCTTTTCTTTTTTGCCCTAAAATTGTGGATCAACCTCAGGGAGAGGTTGATACTGTCTCTGGAGCATCAAGACCTAAACTGCATTTACACGTTCCCTGACGAAGGCGAGTACTGGTCAGAGAGTTTATTGTCCCTGATGAGTTTCAGTTTTAGCGGGTTGCTGGAGGCTTGGACTTTCCAGGTGTCTTCAGATTGATGAAGAGCTGGCTTGATGTGTGACCCGTGGATCCAAGATGCGATGCCCTCGACTTTGTCGGCAGTTGGTATAGTGGTGAGCAGGACGTAATAAGGACCCTTCCACCGGGGTTCCAGATTCTGGCTGCGGTGTCATTGCACATACCAGATCACCAACCTGGAACTGATGGGGCACCTCCAAGGACCCGGGCGCATATGCACTGCCAACCTTGCTCCAAATCTCTTTCTGAATAAGCTGCAGTCCTCTCAGCCTGGACAACAAGTCAGAATTACCACTAGTTATGTCAAGGGGGTCCCCAAGAAGAGTCAGGGGAGCAGGAACCCCATATAGTAGTTCGAAGGGAGTCAGGCCCAGTAAGGAGGGAATATTTCTGACTCTAAAAAGGGCCAAGAGAAGGAGCACCACCCAGTCACCACCGGTCTCCATGGTCAATTTGGTGAGAGTCTCTTTTAGAGTTCTATTCATTCTCTCTACCTGTCCTGAACTTTGGGATCTATAAGCACAGTGTAATTTCCAATCGAGCCCCAGAAATATGGCCACCTCCTGACTTACCTGAGCAACGAAGGCCAGCCCATTGTCTGACCCAATTACCTTTGGAATATCAAACCGAGGAAAAATGTCTTCCAGAATCTTTATGGTTATGACCAGATCGGTTTCTTTCTTTGTGGGAAAAGCTTCCACCCATCCTTCTGACAGGGTTCACACTCCCAGGTCACTCTCTCAGTCAGGGCGGTGAGGTTTAGTATTTGGTACTGGGATTGGCGGGCAATTTCAGCCAATTTCTTTGCCCCCAAGTGAGTCCACTTATGCATCTGAGTTATTAATTTCTCAGCATCTTCCTGTGGTAGAATGACCTTACCTTTGGAGTCAATCCATGCCCCCACACCGGTGTCAAATATCCCGTTTTTGCCGTATTAGCTTTAAGTCACTTTCTGAGTAGTTTAGTCGTTCTTCTCTGGGCAGCTCAGCGGTCAGTACCACTGGGACAGAGTTTCCTCTAGCGGCTGCTTTAGCCTCCTGATCAGCCATGTTATTCCCCTTTGCTGCCCTGGAAGTTCCCTTCTGATGTCCCGGGCAATGAATAATGCTTACCTTGGTGGGCAGCAACAAGGCATTGCGCAAAGCCAGAATCTCAAGTCCTTTTGCCATCCCTGTTCCTCTGCTAGAACCTGCAAACAATCAGGCTCTGGGGGCTGGATTTCTGGATCCGGTAATAAGGTGGCAGGGTTTAGCCCTGTCGCCGGGGCAAAGGTGACTCTATCGTTATTCAAGAGCAAAGCCTGGTAATGCGCATTCGGGCATTCGTGAGCCAGCGATCAGGTGACTGCCTTGTGACACTCTCAAGGGCATGAGGAGCATAGATGGGGAGGTCCTGTCCCAGAGTCAGTTTGTACTAGTGCCGCCACTGCCGCTACTATTCACAGGCAGGTTGGCCATCCTGCCGCTACTGAATCAAGCTTTTTGGATAGATAGGCTACTGGTCTCTTCCAGGGTCCAGTTTTCCAGTTAGCACCCCTTTTGGCCATTCCCCGATTCTCGGCCACACACAGAAGGATTTGGTCACATCAGGGAGTCCCAATGCTGGGGCCGACATTAAGGCTCGTTATCAAATGCAGCTTGTTCATCCTTCCCCCAGATGAAAGAGTTGTTGCCCTTTGTAAAGGCATACAGAGAGGCTGCCATCTCAGCAAATCCCGGAATCCACAGCCGGCAAAACCCCGGTGTACCTGTTTCCTGCAGAGCTGTGCCTTTTTCGCCGACGCTCTGTAGTGGAGCTCATGCAGCTCTTGCAACAGCCGGTGGCTTCATCAAATATGGTCCATGTAAGCTGGCCCGAGACCCCCGAGTCCAGGGGGTCTTTCCATTCGAAAGCAAAATGGAAAGTCCAGGTCTTTCCATTCGAAAGCAAAAATGTCTTGGCTGGTAGGGCTAAGTTGAAGACAAAAGAATCCTTAAGGTCCAAGACTGTATACCAAAGCCTGTCAGGGGGAAGGGAACTCAACAGGTTATACGGGTTGGGCACGGTAGGATGTAAGTCTGTGACCTGTTTGTTAACTTCGCTCAAGTCCTGTACGGGTCGATAGTCGTTGCTCCCAGGCTTCTGAACTGGCAGCAATAGAGTATTCCAGGCAGATTGGCACCTGTTGAGCACCCCTAGGTCAAGGAGCTATTGTATGTGAGGGCAGATCCCATCATGGGCTTCCTTAGACATCGGCTATTGCCGCCCCACGATTGGGGTAGCCTGAGGCTTCAGCTCTATCTGAACTGGGGGCTGTCTCTCTGCTTTTCCTAGGCCAGCCATTTCAGCCCGTGCCCTGGGATGTCTCTCTAGCCACCAGTCAATGTCTTTTTCCGGACTTACCACCTTTTCAAATAGGTGGTATTCATCTTCCAGTTGAATCGTCAGCACATGAATGGGATCCCCTTTATTGTCTGTCACCTGTGGCCATCTGGTCTAAAATGATATGGGCCCCTATCTTAGTTAGGATATCTCGCCCTAACAGTGGGTACAGGCATGTGGGGACAACTAAGAATGAGTGGGATACCTGGCCCACTCCAAGGTCCACCGTTCTTCGGGTAGTCCATGAATATTGTTTACAACAGTGGCTCCTTGGACCCATGATTTTTTCTCTTTTTAGCTCTTAAGTCTTGTAACAGAACAGAATGCTGGGCGCCAGTGTCCACCAAGAAGTGGACTGGCTTTTTCTTCCTTTTGGAGAATCCTTGATCCAGTGTCCTTTCTCCTTAGACAGAGGGCCCCTCCAATTGCTAGGAACTCTCTCCCTATCATTACGACTTTCCTGCACTACAGTGGCCAGGATCTTAGTCAACTTTCTGTCTTGCCTCTTATCCCTTTTTCTTTCTCTCACTTCCTGATCTTTCTGCTTTCTATCCTCTTTCTCTTCTTCCATCTCCCAGCTGTAGAAAACCATTTCTGCTACCGGCACTAAATCCTTCAATGACTTGTCCTGTAAACCCTCTATTTTCTAGAGTTTTCTACGAATATCCCTGGCTGACCAGTCTATAAAGGTTATAGTCATCATTGCCCTATGCTCATCTGAGGTAGGGTCATAGGGTGTAAACCGACAGTAAGCCTCCATCAGCCGTTCAAGAAAGGCTGTGGAGGATTCATCCAGCCCCTGAACCATCTCTCTTTCTCTTACCTTCGTCAAATTGGTGGGTTTATCTAGCGGCCCCATGGAGACCCACCATTAGAGTCTGGCAGTAGACTTTCAGGTGCTTCCTACCTCCAGGTGTGTTGTAATCCCAGTTGGGGCAGGTGAGGGGAAAGCCATCATCAATCTCCTTAGGGAGGATGGAAGGCCTCCCGTCCGTTCCTGGCACATTCTTTCTCGCCTCAAGGAGAACCCGCTCCTGTTCCTCGGTAGTCAGGAGGGCCTGCAAGAGTTGCTGGCAATCATCCCAAGTGGGCTGGTGTGAGAATAGGACAGATTCAAACAAAACAGTTAGAGCTTGAGGATGTTTGGAAAAGGGGGTTATGGACCTTCCACTTATTGAGCTAACAATTAACCTTCTCGTCACAGTTTAATACTATCTTCAGATCCTTGTCAAAATTCGTCAGGGAGCAACAGACCCTACGGCGATTTTGGTCTGGTCTCACCTTGTGGTCCACCCTTGCAAACGCTGGGATAACGTGTGTGCCACCACATCTGCTGACCTGAGCCAGGGTCCTTACCTGTTACCAGTCTGTTCAGATTGGCCGTTTATTCATGACTCAGCCTTGGCATATGGTTTCCAAAAGCCCCTTCATTCCTTCTAGGTTGTCCAACGTGTTGAACTGCATTTGTTTGTCGCTCTCTCCTGTGGCACTTCCTGCTTCTGTGGTCTCGGTTGTCACATCTATCTCTCTTTCCATTTCTGAGTTTACTCATTTGGAGTTTCTCTTCTCCTAATCTGGCCAAAGTCAGCAATTTCTTTCTGTCATCTCAAAGAAACAACTTTTAGTTTTGCTTATCTTTTTTTTTTTTAATTTTTCTAGATTATAATTATTTCAGTTCTAATTTTTTTTAAATTTTCTTCTTTTACAAATTCTGGGCTGAATTTGTTGTTCTTTTTCTTATTCCCTGAGGAGTAAAGTTACAAATTTGAGATTTTTCTTCTTTTCTGAGATTATTATTTTCTGAGATTTTCTTCTGATATAGGCACATATTGCTGAACACTTCAGTCTTAGAACTGTTTATTTTTTTTTTGTTTGTTTGTTTTGGTCCTTTTTTGTATTTTGTATGTCTATTTTCATTATCTCAAAATATTTTTGAAATTTCTCTTTTAATTTCTTTTTTTGATTCATTGTTCAGGGTCATGTTGCTTACTAACTCTGCTCTGATGAATTTTTTTGAGAATTTCCTGTTTTTTATGTCTACTTTCATTGTGTACATAAAAGGTATGTGTTACAGTCTCAAAGTCCTTCAGTTTATTGAGATTTGGTATGAGTGTGCTTGTGTGGCAGTGTGTGTTATCAGGGCTCGTCCACTAAGGGTGCCCTAAAAACTTTTTACCCTCTTGGCTCAGCCTCTCCAGGGCATGCATGTTCATGATGAAGGTTTTTTTTTTTTTTTTCAATCTAAGGTTTAATTAAACAAACAAACAAACAGGGAAATCAACAGTAAAACTACATAAAAGACAAAAGATCCTAATAAAACATTAGGCCACTTACTGCAGACCTGCGTATTTTGAGATTTGATGGCCCCTCTGTTCCATTCTCCACAGCCACTACTAATTCACACTCAGAAGCGTGGTGTGTTTACTTTTCGGTATCTTCTCACTAGTGTCTTTTCGGTCTATAGACAAATTCCCCTGGCAGATGATAATATCTTTTTTTTATTTGTATTATGACTAAAGTTTTTCAGCTTTTTTTTTTTTTTTTAATGTATCTGATGTCCAGGACAAGTTCTTAATGATTAGCACTTGATCTCTGCTGGAAGTGTGTGTGTGTGTGTGTGTGTGTGTGTGTGTGTGTGCATGCACACTCATGAATATATTTGGAAAGATTCTTTACTGTTGCTTTGCTGTATTTGTTAAGTTCATTGGGTCTAAATTTCAACTCAACTATATTCTCATTGATTTTCTGTATAGACAATTTGCCCATTGTTGAAAGAAGTATGTTAAAGTCCCCAACTGTTACTGTACTGTAATTTCTCTCTCTTAAGATCTATGACTGTTTATATATTCAGGTGTTTCAATGTTGAATAAATAAATACATAAATAAATAGATAGATAGATAAATAAATACATAAATAAATATTGTAATTGTTACATACTTTCAATGAACTGACCCCTTTGTCTCTGTTTAAAATAATTATTTTTTTTTGGGAGGGGGGAACAGGGTTTTTCTGTGTAACCTTGGCTATTCTGGAACTCACTCAGTAGACCAGCCTGGCCTCGAACTCAGAGATCTGTCTGCCTCTGCCTCCTGAGTGCTGAAATTAAAGGTGTGTGTCACTACTGCCAAGCTTCTTTTTATAATCTTTGATTCAGTCTATTTTATCTGATATAAGTTTAGTTACCTCTGGTTTCTTTTGGTTCCTGTTAGCGTGGATTGTCTTTTTTCTTGTCTTTTATTTTCAATCTACGTGTGTCTTTAAAGATGAAGTAAGTCTCTTGTTAGTAGCATGTAGCTGTATATTCCTTTTTGAAAATATTTATTTATTTTATGTATACACACACCAGAAGACACAGTCAGATCCCATTAGGGATGGTTGTGAGCTTCTATGTGGCTGCTGGGAATTGAACTCAGGACCTCTGAAAGAGCAGCCAGTGCTCTTAACTTCTGAGCCATCTCTCCAACCCCTGTAGTTGTGTATTCCTAATACTTATGCAGCCACTCAGAATCTTTTGAAAAGTTAAATCTAGTCACATTTAAGATGACTATTCAAGGCTTACAACAACTTTGTAAATGTTTTTGTTGATTGTGGATCCTTTATTCTTTTCTTTTCTTTTTTTTCCCCTTTGCTCTTCCTAGATTTTCTGTGGTGTTATGCTTTTGAAAAATGTATTTTATTTTTAATTATGTTGTGTGTGTGCTAGGTGTTAGTATTTATTTAAAAATGTCACTCACACAATGGATATTATATGAAAGAGATTTATTGGATGGAGGTGGGGAGATAGAGAGGAAAAGGAAAGAGAGAGACATGATGGGAACCCCCAGGAAAGAAAGGAAGAGAGAGCAAGAGAGGAGAGGAAGAGAGGAAAGTAAGAGAAAGAGACAAAGTGGGGGTGGTGGTCCTTTTTTTATTAAATTTTTTATTTTTTATATTAATTAAAGTTTATTCACTTTGTATCTCAGCTGTAGCCCCCTCCTTCATTTCCTCCCAACCCCACCCTTCCCCATCTCCTCCCATTCCCTTCCCCTAATCCACTGACAGGGGAAGTCCTCCTTCTCTTCCATCTGACCCTAGCTTATCAGGTCTCATCCGGACTGACTGCAATGTCCTTCTCTGTGGCCTGGTAAGGCTGCTCCTCCACAAGGGGGGGGGGGTGATCAAAGAGCCAGCCACTGAGTTCATGTCAGAGATAGTCTCTGTTCCCATTACTAGGGTACAAACTTGGACACTGAGTTGCCATGGGCTACATCTGTGCAGGGGTTCTAGGTTATCTCCATGCATAGTCCTTGGTTGGAGAATCAGTCTCAGAAAAGACCCCTGGGCCCAGATAGTTTGGATCTGTTGCTCTCCTTGTGGAGCTCCTGTCCTTTCCAGGTCTTACTATCTTCCCCTTCTTTCATAGGATTTCCTGCACTCTGCTCAAAGTTTAGTTATGAGTCTCAGCATCTGCTTTGATACACTGCTGGGTAGAGTCTTTCAGAGGCCCTCTGTGGTGGGCTCTTGTCCTGTTTCCTATTTTCTCCTTTTCTTCCAATGTCCATCCTGTTTGTCTTTCTGAGTGAGGATTGATCATCTTACCCAGGGTCCTCCTTCTAGCTCAGCTTTTTTAGGCGTACAGATTTTAGTATGTTTATCCTATACTGTATGTCTAATATAAGTGAGTATACACAATGTGTGTCTTTCTGCTTCTAGAATATCTCACTCAGGATGATTTTTTTTTTCTAGATCCCACCATTTGCCTAAAATTTCATGATTTCCTTGTTCTTAATTGCCGAGTAGTATTCCATTGTGTAAATGTACCACAATTTCTATATCCATTCATCTGGGTTGTTTTCAGGTTCTGGCTATTACAAATAAAGCTGCTAAGAACATGGCTGAGCAAATGTCCTTATTGTGTACTTGAGCATATTTTGGATATATGCCTAGGAGTGGTATAGCTGGATCTTGAGGAAGTGCTATTCCTAATTGTCTGAGAAAGCATCAGATTGATTTCCAAAGTGGTGGTACAAGTTTACATTCCCACCAGCAATGGAGGAGGGTTCCCCTTTCTTCATATCATCTCCAGCATGTATTGTCACTTGAATTTTTGATCTTAGCCATTCTGATGGGTGTAAGGTGAAATCTCAGGGTCGTTTTGATTTGCATTTCCCTGATGACTGAGGATGGTGAGCATTTCTTTAAGTGTTTCTCTGCCATTCAACATCCCTCTATTGAGAATTCTCTGTTTAGCTCTGTACCCCATTTTTTAATTGGATAATTTAATTTGTTGCTTTTTAACTTCTTTAGTTCTTTATGTATTCTGGATATTAGCCCTCTGTCAGATATAGGGTTGGTGAAGATCCTTTCCCAATCTGTAGGCTATCATTTTGTTCTGATGACAGTGTCCTTTGCTTTACAGAAGATTTTCAGTTTCATGAGGTCCCATTTATTGATTGTTGATCTTAGAGCCTGTGCTGTTGGTGTTCTTTTCAGGAAGTTTTCTCCTGTGCCAATGAGTTCTAGGCTCTTCCCCAATTTTTTTTCTAACCGATTTAGTGTTTCTCATTTTATGTTGAGGTCTTTGATCCACTTGGACTTTAGTTTGTTCAGGGTGATAAATATGGATCTATTTTCTTTTCTTTTCTTTCTTTCTTTTTTTTTTTTTTTTTTTTTTTTTTTTTTTTTTTTTTTTTTTTTTT